CCTCTGCTCATCTTGTGGTAGATTTTAATTGTCATGGATGAAATCGTGGGTGGGGGTTGGATGTAAAACAGGTTCACATACACAGACATGAACAAAACCATTCTTGAGCTGAGCAGACACTCCCTTAAATCCTGTTCCAAATGGCTCACCAAATACATCCTGCCACTGTTATCCAGCCCTCACTGAAGATACAGATCTTACCTTTCCAAACTGGTGGGGGGGATGAGGCGGGAGGTGTTAAATGGGCTGCAGGGGGTGGCTCTTTAAATAGAAAAAAAAAATAACCTTCCCAAACTTTCCTAGCATGATATCCTGTATGTAGTTTTTTCAGCCTTTCAATTGATTTTTAGGAATCTAAGAAAATGACAGTTTCCATCATTCCCAGCAGGAAGTCCTGCTGTCTGAGGAAGAATAATTTTCAGGAAAGATAGGCCATCTTCAGAACCTAGCTTCTGTTCAAATAGCCATCTGCCATGTCCCGTTAGTCCTTCCTCTCCATGCCTTGGAAGGATTTGAAATGCGAAAAAGGGGGACAGCACCTGTGTGTGCATGAGTGAGCCATATACACACATGTATGTATTTGGCAGGCATCACCCACACTTGCAAATGCCTGTAGAGCATTCTCAAGTGTCTAACAGGAATGCTTTCAAAAGTGCAAGCAGTTTTGGGCTGAGCATGGGGACATTCCTCCATCCCTTTTGGAAACAGTGCACACATTTCGCAGTTCTCACAGTGGCACATGCAATTCTTTTGCGCAGCTAAGGCTGAAAGCTGAATCCAGACCATGGGAAGACCCTTAGCAAGGCAACTATGTCACTGGTTCTCAGAACTACCATCTGCACCACGGCTCACATTCCATTGGTCAAGGAGAAGTACAGGTATGTATGTGCATTGCTTCATTAGTGCAGCAGGAAAAAGAAAACACAGTCTCTCTCTGTCACAGCCACAGGAAAGAGGATAGGGTTGGGGGAGGGCTTTCATTCATTTGCCATTCATTGATGTCACTGTTGTAATTTCCAGTCCTGCACCCATATATTGATATTTCAGTTAATGCAGAAAAATACTCACACAACCCCTATTCCTTTTCCATTTCTCTGTCATTTCCTTTGGGCAATAATAGCAAATTAATTTCTAGATCAGTCCTTTCTATGCTGCTATGTATATCAACATCCTGATCACTACCAAAAATCAGAGGTTATAGCACACCAGAAAATACATTTTTTGCATGCATAAGGTTTAATCTCTGGTTAAAAGAAAAGAGCCCTGAAGACGGCGGGCCTGTAGCCACGGTGGGGCATCTCGCGGCCACACCCCCGACTTTCAATCCACGCCCCACAAGGTCGGCAGGGGCATCCAGGCATAGGGGTCACTCCTTCACTCCCCCGGCCAGCCTGGTGGGCAGTGCACAGTGGCAGTGCTTCCCCAGACCTCAGAGCCACGTGGAGGCCCCAAGGGAGGAGGCACCTTTCCTTCTTCTCCCCCAGTGGCCAGCCGGGCCCTGCCTTGCCCATGCAGTGCTCCTTGCTTGCCGGGAGGTGGACTGGAGGCTGCTCTGCAGTGGTGGCCCAGCCAGCCAGCTACGCCACGTGCTAAATGCTGGTACATGACTTCCTTATATTTGGGTGGTGCGTGCCCTCTTGGCAGAAAGTAATTATTCAACAGTCCCTGCTCTGTGAGGGAGAGACAGAGAGAGAACTGTCAGGGGGAGAGAGGGCTCCTTGCTTGCCCAGAGGTGGGCTGGAGGCTGCTCTGCAGTGGTGGCCCAGTCAGCCATCTACGCCACGTGCTAAATGCTGGTACTCGACTTCCTTATATTTGGGGAAGTGTGGTGGTGGTGGTGCGTGCACTCTTGGCAGAAAGTAAGTATTCAACAGTCCCTGCTCTGTGAGGGAGGGACAGAGAGAGAACTGTCAGGGGGAGAGAGGAAGAGACAGCCAGGAGGGGGGGGAGACAGCAGCGGTGAGGGAAGAGCTGAGCTCCTGTAACTCCTGCACCGGCAGAGCATGCTTGGTGAGCCTGGCAGGCAAAGTCCCCACTGGAATTAATGGCGAGAAAAGGGCGTGGACAGACTTTACCCTGTAAGGTGCAGCCTTATGTGTGGGAGGAAGTTTCAGTGACCCCCCCCGAGTTGTAGTCTCACACAAGCTGCCTTTTGTCTCTGATGTGTTTGTTTGTGTTTAACCGGCTCTTTAGATGCTTTGCAGAAACCAGCCAAAATGCCCACAAGATTAAAGGCTCATAATCAGAAATGCAGAGATGAGAGCAGAATCAAGTCGCATTCGATTTTTGTCCACATATGGAGTCTTGTATTTCCATGCTAACTATTCACATTACATTTATGTAGACACAGGTAGCTCTAGATTTGGCTGCTTAGTTAAATTCAGCACCCACCCCAATGCTTCTTGGCTTCTACTGCCCTCCATTTAAGGCTGCCAGATATAAGCCCTCACAAAGTTTCTGAGCCTTTATGAGCTGCATGGAAGAGAGAATTTCACCGAGTGCCAATTTTCTCCTCCCAGTGCCACAGCAATGGGAGAAGCCCACATCTGATGGACCTCAGCCTTCAGCCATCTTGCCTCTTCTCCTCTGGTGTAGTGGTTAAGTGTGTGGACTCTAATCTGGGAGAACCGGGTTTGATTCCCCACTCCTCTACTTGCAGCTGCTGGATGACCTTGGGTAAGCCATAGTTCTCTGTCAGAGCTGTTCTCTCAAGGACAGTTCTGGAAAGAGCTCTCTCAGCCCCACCTACCTCACAGGGTGTCTGTTGTGGGGAGGGGGAGGGAAAGGAGTTTGTAAGCTGCTCTGAGATTCCAAGTGAAGGGCGGGGAATAAATCCAATCTCTTCTTCTTCTTCTTGTCCCTTCATGGTCTCTTGGGACCACTGTCTAAATGTCCCTGTCCCTGCCTGCCAACTCAACCCCTCCTGACCAAACGGCTGTACTGCCATTACTGCAGCTTGTAAGTACCAGGGATGCAGGATTGTGCTGACACAACTAGTGAGGGGGCCAAAATGCCTTTGAGAAGACCATTGGTACCATCCTGACTCCAGTCTCAGCTCACTGAAATCAACCAGAAATGTATTTCCTGTTGAAAGCAATGGCAATGAAGACAAATATAATGGACATAAACATGTAATAGAAAATATGAAACAAACGCAGCTTTTGAAATGAAAATGAATTGGCACGTCCCCATTTTGCCCAAGCACCTGTTTATCAGGTTCAAACTACACGTGATTGCAGCAGATTCCTCAGAGCAGCCCCTGTGGCATATCGAGTGGGAGAGGGAGGACCCATTTCAAGAGCAAAGGGAGCAAAGTCCCATTTACCTCTCTGCAGCTGCTTTTCCAGATGCTTTCCTGTCTGGGTTCCCATCTGGGATAGGAGCCTACCCAAGGGAAAAGTAAGGTCAGCATACAAACGTTCCAGGAGTTAAACTGCAGCCAGTGGAAGACTTCGGCATTCTCCACCCTTCTGCTCTTAAAATCAGATCTCCACCCTACAGTTTTCTATTTGGGTCTGAAGATCTGGATGTCCCGCTGTTACAGATAGTTTGAGCCTCAGGATGCTTTTCGGCATCATTAGCTTCTCACCTCTCTTACACAGTATCGTTGGCAGAATGCTGCACTCCTGGTTTTTCTTTGAGTTAACTTATTTCTGTGTTTTTTTCTGACCTCAAAAGTGGTCTGAAAAATACACAAGAAAATTTCAGGGGGGGGGGGAACACAGGAGAGCAACAACCAGCAAACAATAGTGTGCAAGGGAGCAAAATCATGATGCGGAAAAGCCCGTATCCACACTTTTAGGTATACATTTTTTAAAAGAAATCCCAGGTGTTCAGCTCAAAATATAACAGTGTTAAGTGGTCCTCCGAAGCAAATGGAGTTACCTTCTCTTCCACTTCATGCCTTGTTCCACGCAAACTTGCTGGGCTTAACGAATCCGGCGTGCCACCCGACTAGAAAAGAAGACAACATTTGCCAGTATTCTCACAAACTCCTGCCGCCTGATTCAGGAAGCCCCTCTTCACATAAAAGAAGCATCAAAGGCTTTTTACATTTTAGTCAGTGACAGACTCAAGGGATAAACAGTTTGCCTTTCTTCTCCCCCACCTTTCATGATCAATCCAGTGACAACAACGAGGAACAGAATTCATGTTTCTCATGACCCAATTAAGTGCGCTGTAAACAGGGCAGTTCTGTCCGGCTTTTCTCAATGAGCATAGCACGGATCTAATATCAGCTGTGTTCTAATCCCAAAAGGCTGGGACGAACTTCAATGGCACAAACGGGGAACTGTTGGGGGGAGGGGGGTAAAGCCCTCTGATGGTTCATCTGTTATAAATAGTGTAATTCAATGAAAAGATCACCATTGACATGCAACAACTTTTCCAGTTCAGAAATTTGCCTCTATTTATGCATTGCATCCATCTCAACAGCTCATTCAGGATTTCAGCAGACGCAGCACTGGATGTTATGAATAGTAGGGCAATTCACACCTTTGAAATAATGACTGACTGAATGCAACCCCCTTCCCCAAAGGCTTTTCCAAAATGGAAAGATGGTATATGTTTTCTATGGTTATTTTTTTTGTTCTATTGACAGAACAGTGATTCATTTACATAAATTCTCAGTAATTAGTCTTTCGGAAGCATATGACGAGAGCTTCATTTCAGAAAATACTTCAGATGTTTCCCTGCCAAGTTAAACAACTAAGACTGTGAGACAAAAATCTACAGACGGCTTGGCCTTCAAGATCGACAGAGTGGAGCCGAACCTCTTCGTTCTACATCAGAATGTTCCAGAGTTCCAGAATGAATCTGTTCTACTCCACTCCCTCTGTGTGGCAGATAATACAATCTGGCCTATTCTGAGACCGCTGGCACAGCAAGAACACGGCAATCTAGCCACCACATCGCTAAAATAGGTTTGAGCCTGGGGAAGTCCTTGGCTATGATATGACCCACTCCCGTGCTATTTCCAGAAGAGAATCAGAATACAGAAAGTCTTGCATGTGTTCTGGAAACGCTTTTGGCCCAGTCAGAACAATGCAACAATGTACCAGTTCCCAGCTTTCTTTTTTTTAAAAAAAGTCTCTTGCCTTTTTATTATGGAGTTATAAGGGGAAAGGTGCTGGCTGCACATTTCTCCTTTCAATGCTGCAACCAAAAGGGCTGGAGGTTTATATTTTATCAATGACAGCTGGGAACTAGTTCATTATTGCAACAATTTAGAGCGCTATAAGTATTACTGTTTTTTTTTTTTTTAAGTCTGAAAAAGCCCTCTGGTGGCAAGGGGGAGGATGGCAGCCATTAAGGGCTGCGGCAGGGAAAATGAGGGGGAAATGCCTCCGCATTTGCAGCAGCAACAACAATTTGGACTGGGGCCAGGGCATCAAAGGAGCAAGGGTTTAACTCTTCAATCACAGCACAGTTTCAACAGACAAAAGCACCACCACCCAGAGTAAACTGTAGAAGGCACCACCCAGTTTTAACCATTTTTTTTCTTTTCAAGATCAACAAGCAAAGGCAAACCATGAGTGAGATGAAGGATTAAACCTCATCTCTCTCCCATATGAGAACACCAGTCTGAATAAGAGTCCCATGAAGCTTCTATTTTAATTTTTTTTTAATGTTGGCAAGAGGCATTTACAGATAAGTCTTACGGTGCAATCCTAAGAATACTTCCCTGTGAGTAAGCCCATCTATGGCTGCTGCCACACACGCTAAGTAATCCACTTTAAATCCACTTTTAGTGCACTTTCAAAGTGGATTTTGCCAGTTCACACAGTAAAACTCCACTTTGAAAGTGCACTGAAAGTGGATTGAAAGTGGATTACTTAGCGTGTGTGGCAGCAGCC